AGGTAAAATTTGAGGGGGTAGGGACTAATAAGTGTATACTTCTGCCTACTCCGTTTCAATGATATTTTGTAATATAAATAAATAAATCAGCTCATAAAATTCATTTCTTTTCTGCAAACCTCACATTGTAAATGTTCCTTAAGCATGTGCTTATATAGAAACATAGTCTCTCAGCTATCCTCCGTCAGAAACACCTTTGACATTATGACTTCTTCTCATAACCTGAAACACTCATAGACACATCCAGTATTTCCTCTGATGTCACAGTCCCTTGATGTGTTTCTCAAAAATTAAATTGTAGTTTCTTTAAGAGTACGAACAACGTAATAACAAAGCCAGTGTCCTTGGTTTGCTTTGTTTTTGGCCGTTACTGATTCACCCTTTTGTGTAATCCATACTGCTTTGTCTTTTATCTCCACTCCCTTTGAATATTTAACCAGTTTAACACTAATACGAAAGCACACATTAGTAATGGTCAGTGCACCCATGCACCAGTCACCTGGGATGCATCTTTTTTTTCAGACATTATTTGGTAACTTGATATTTTTGCTGTGGATTTCTCCACTGTCACTATCACAAAGTGCTCTCAATCCACTTACTATTATTATTGTTATCTCTTCCATTGAATAGCGATTTGTGTGTTTGCAGATCAGCTGAAGTAACCTTATCAACTGGAAACGCTATAGAGGAATGCCCACATTTAAGGATGATTGACACGGGCACTTGAGCAGAGCAGGCTTCCTCATATTACCTCTATAACCCTGTCAGAGTTTACAGTTAGTTCAAACACTGAGCCTCAGGTGTACCCAATTCTTTCTTTTATATATCTATAAACATTATGTCAAATTCTATTTCAAAATTGGGGGGAAGAGAAAATTTTTAAATGAAAGGCTTTAAAGTTTAATAGCTTTACACCTGATGTTTTTGAAAAAAGAAATTAGCTATATATTCATCTGTACAACAGATAGAGTCTCACATTTTAGACTGCTGCTCAGTGTGGCCCGTTTAATGTCTGTATGTGAAGCACAAACGTGACATGAATATTGGCAGCTTTTAATTACTTCATTCATTCACTGTCTTCAAATGAACCCCGTGGAATCTGGTAAATATTGTACAGAATAAAAACGGCCGAAGAGGCTCGTAGCTGGCACTTGTAATCACATTACAGAAGACTGTGTAACGGCACAGACCGAACTAACTCTGAGGGGATAAACGGGGGGTAATGGAGTCCCCTGCGCCTACCTGGGTGGTCACGGATACTGATCTTTGGAGTTTCGTTACATTTTTGCGTTGCTCGGTTTTAAAGACGAATTTATTGACGTGGTTGTAAAAGAATCGCCAAGATGGGCAGAAAAGAGGGTCGTAACCGTAGAGAAGCGAGCGGGTTGTAGTTTATTCGTCTTTTTTTTTTTTTTTTTTTACCTCTTATTCCACAAAAGAGAAAGAAAAAAGTCTCACCTTTTATTTTGTTGTCGGTCGCGCTGTCTGACAACGGAGCCTGTCCACAGTCCTCTGAACTCTCCTCTCCTCCGCCGCCCTCGGTCACCAGCTGCTCGGAGAACTTTCTTGTAGTGGCCGTGCACAAGGCGCAGTTTTGAGACGTGGCCGGTGGCAGTGCAGGGCTGACGGGCTGGCAGAGGGCTGGGCGGGGGCTGCTGGTCACAGAGATAGGAGGGTGGTGGAAGGTGGGTGGATGGGTGTAACGGAACAGTTA